AACTGTTGAACAAACATTGGGTAACAAATGGTGATATCAACACAAACTTGGAAAAGTTTAAGGAAGATGACACCAAATGAAATAAGGAAACCTTTGGTTGCATTAACAAGAGGAAAAAAGAGCTTCAAGCTAGACTAAGAGGGATTGATAATGATATACAAAGAAAACACTCGGATTTCTTAGTCCGTTTAAAAAAAAGAATCAAAAGCTGATCTAGAAGAAATACTCATAAAAGAAGAACTTCTTTGGTTCCAAAGAGCAAGAAGTGCTATATGGCAATAAGAACACTAGTTATTTCCATAAAATTACAATTGCTAAACAAATAATAAATATTATATATGCATTGGAAGTCACTGATGGAGATATTTGTACAAATTAGGAGGCTTTGAAATCACACGCTGTTTAATTTTTTAAAGAGCTCTTCACAAGCTCCATTGGAGACAGCTAAATTTTAACCCCGCGAAACCAATTTCCAAAAATCTAGGCAAGCCAGCTCACAACATTGGAAGCTCCTGTAGAGGAACTAGAAATAAAAGAAGTGGTCTTCAGTATGGCCCCCCTCAAGGCTCTCGGAGCATATGACATTCATGCCATGTTCTATCAGAAAAATTGGGACCAAGTGGGGGAAAGTGTTTGCAAACTAGTTAAGAAAATTCTAAAAGGTCAGCCCATTGATGAAACCATTAATATAACTTTGTTGGTGTTGATCCCGAAGGTAGAAAATCCCGTAAAAATTTCATAATTCCGACCAATAAGCATGTGTTCAGTCCTCTATAAAATTGTTACGAAGGTCATTGTCAATCGAATTAAACCCCTACTTCCCGACCTCATCTCCAGTGACCAGACCAGCTTTGTCCCTGGTCAAGAAATCACTGTTAATATCATAATAGAACAGGAAATCGTCCACTCAATGCAACAGAAAAAAGGAAGGAATGGCTGGATGGAAATCAAAATTGATTTAGAGAAAGCGTATGATCACATTGAATAGTATTTCATTGACAACACACTTAAAGATATTGGCATACCTAACCCCCTACGGAACGTAATTATGAATTATTTTAGTTCAGTGGCCATTTCGATTGTCTAGAATAGATCTCTCACAGATATTTTTAAACTATCATAAGGCATTAGGAAAGGTAACCAACTATCCCCATACTTGTTCATTCTCTTAATGGAGAGACTTGGCCAAGCAATAACCGAAGAAGTCAACAATGGAGCTTGGAAACCAATAAAGCTCGCCAATTTTGTACCCGAAATATCTCACCTACTTTTTGTTGATGGCCTATTTTTCTTTGCAGAACCCATTGTTTCTCAATTAAAAGTAATGAATAATGTCATACAAAATTTTTGTATCAAATATGGGCACAAAGTAAGCGTTTTAAAGACCAACATCTTCTTTTCTATGAATGTTCCTAATTAAGGATACCAAAACGATCATCAACATAAGTCTAAGCTTCAAGGAAGTTAGCAATCTCAGCAAGTACCTCAAGGTCCCACTTTTGCATAAAAGAGTCACGAGGAAAACTTACCAGCCAATTATACAGAAGGTAAGAAAGAGCTTTACAGATTGGAAGGCTAAGTCCTTATATCTTGCAGGTAGGCTCATTTTAGCCAAGTTTGTACTCTCAACAATTCCCTATTACACAATGCAATTTGCGATGCTGCTGAAAGGAACTTGTAGTGACCTGGAAAAGCTGATAAGAAATTGTGTTTGGGGTCAAATTGAAGAATTGGTACCCACCTATTTAACTGGGAAACCTTGTGCAAAACTCCCAAGGAATGCGGGATGGGCATGAAGCAACTTTACTACCAAAATATGGTTTTCTTCATGAAGTTGGCCTATCATTTTGTTACTAAGAAGGATCAAATGTGGGTTAAAATTCTACAGGGCAAGTACAAAATTAAAGAGTGAACCTTTCGAGAAAATGTAGTATGGAACTTGGGGAAGAGTGAACGTATTGAATTTTGGGAGGAAAATGGATTAAGGACTTAGGTCCCCTTTGGATTCATTGTCTCCAATCGAACAACATTACTGAAACTCCTTGCAAAGTAAAAGACCTCATCAACAAAAACAATGAATGGAGCTAGGAGAAAATCAGGAACATACTCCCAAAAAAAGCTATCATAGCCCTTGAGGCAATACCTCCACTACTCATCCTGGTAATCGAAGATTCTGTTGGTTGGAAAGGAACATAGAATCGTTCATTCTCAGTAAAATCATCATACAACCTTACCCTTAGTTCCGTAACTGAACAGTTAGACGGAGCCTGTGATATTCTAGCAAAGTACCAAAATTTCCCTAGAATCAAGGTGTGGTTGTGGCTGGCCATCAATGACAGGCTACTCACGAATGCCGAGAGGGTCAGACATCATATGTCCACCGACGCTAGGTGTAAAATATGTAGAGCAGACAAAGAAAACATTGATCATATCCTTCCAAGCAAACCCCCCTTTCCTTGGTCCACAATTCCATATAAGAAACTAAAACAAGAAATAAAAGTCTAATAATTAGTTGGCATCAACTTCTTACTTGTCTCCTTCTTGTCCCTCCACCTCGCACCTCTCAACAAACATGTTTTCCTCCTTGTTAACACCACCTACACCCTAAACCCCACTTCTTTAAATCCACCCTAATCCTCTATTTTCGTATTTCTAAATTGTGTTTCCAAGCTTTTCTTTCTTTCTCATGGATTTAAATTTTGTCATGTGCTAAACGTGCTACTTAAGAACCCATTATTATGCAACAAAACTCACTGAAATGTATCTTTTTCTCTACCGATTCTCAATTCGTGCATGCATGCCTCTGTCTCATTTTGTCTGCTCAATTGGTTGTCTTTTTTAAAACAAAAAATGACCTCTATTCATCCCCTTTGTTTCTCTCTCTTTCAAACTTCAAGACAAACAATAATTATATAAGGTATCTGTATTTCACTCCAAAATTTCATACTTCTGTGCTTCTGTGCCGGCGCACCATTCTGCGCTTCATTGTAGTCGCCTCGCCTAGACCTAGTTAGGCGCTTCACCCTCGCCTCGCCTTAGCGCCTAGGCGTGCCTTTTTAAACACTGGTCCAAACAGAAGTAAAATATTTATGGACTTTATTATTCCGCTTTGATTTCGCAGAGATGGTTGACATGTAATATTTAAGTATAGGAGATGACAAACTTCATGAGTTTATGTTGTGTTGGAATTTTAGACTGATTGGAAAAATGTGATGGTTTCATATGAAAAAGTTTGGGAGCTTATTTACAGTGGTGTATATTTTTGTGGATAATGCATAATTATTCATCTTGTTTAGGTGAGCTTCTTGTTTTACTGGGTTCTTCATGTTCCATACATGAAATGCATTTCTGTCTTCTTATATGTAAATTCTTTATGAGACCTTCGTTTTTCCCTTCCCTTCTATATCTCTGTGGTGAGGTCCAGAGAATTTGATTGGTTTTTTTGGCACAAATAAGACCATTTGTTTTTTAAACGGCATCCAAAAATGTTCTATTTTATGGGCGGTTGTGATGTTGTCTTCGTGGAAGCTCCTATTACTTGTACTAAAATTTGAGACATAGCTGTTCTATCTGGATTCCTGGAGTTGTCTAGAAGTTGGTTGATCATCTACTCATCGATAGCTAATCAATATTTTTAGGTTTTACCCCCTGTATTTTGGAGTTAGATGAACATATGTTCTCTGATTATTGCTGCAGCCTGTACCTATGGAATTGTCAATAGTACAAGTTGAGGAGTTAGTTGGTAATAAAGCTAATGGCCACCACCAGTTTTCCTTGGAGAACTTTCTGCTTACCTTTAGTTTGATGCACTATGTATGATATAGAAGTTTCATTCAAGAAAATCCAATTTATTGCATATCTGTAGCACATCATGGTTACTAATTACTACATGAGGGAAGGAGATGTACATCTAAAATTTCTGTTTATGGCGATGGGTAAAAAAGAATGTTAATTAACTTTTGTTTTCATCTTGAAACTAAAAATAATTCTAACATGACACTTTTGGTGCATGCTAACTGATTAACATTTGATATAACAATGACTTTGACACATGATGTCTTTGAAGTAAAAAGCATGATTTTGTTGCCCAAGAACCAAATAGGTATAGTTTGATAGAAGTAAGTCCCTTAAACTTCTCTTATTGTCAACAAAAAATGGTTGCTTATGGTGTTGAATAATTATTTTCAATAATCCAAGAACAAAATAGGTATAGTTTGATAAAAGTAAGTCCTTTAAACTTCTCTTAGTGTAAACAAAAAATGGTTGCTTGTGGTGTTGAATAGTTATTTTCATAATCCAAGATTAAAACATACTTGAATTTTAAAATAAATTTTTAATTTTTATGATCTTAAGTATCACAATTTGTCGTATCGATATCATGTTGTCTGCAATTTGATATGTTTGTTGGATGGCCTTTTTTGACATTTTTATACTTGTTGCACCTTCACTTCAAAATGACAAAAAGGTGGAGCAATTTTCATTCTGGGATAGTTGCACTTTTGATTCCACGAAGAGATGATATATTGATTTTATGCATGCAGGATAAGGTTGAGTTTTGAAACAGGGCAACTGGGGTGAATTTTTTATATGTACAAGAGGTTTGTTTCTATCACAGTTGGATTAAAGAAGGATTCATAACGGTATCTTCCCTGCAATGGTACTGCAGGCATGTGAAAAGTTTAATTAGATTATTGTTTCTGTAGGTAGTACTTTTCATCTCACAAAATTTTGCTGCTGAATATTTTTGGCTTGGTTTATCTATGCCTGGCAACGGATTCGGTGACAGTATCCATAATTTCCTTGGCCAAGAGAGCTTGTACCTGGGCCAGCATCACTCAAAGCTGGTTGATAGTACCTGGCATGACTTAAGTAACAATCTGTTTGTTGGAAGCCAGATACACCCTGTTTCAAATGTGAAGAATTTCAGTGTAAATCAATTTGGTAAGGCATCTTATTTGTTTTGTTTCTACTTCTGTTACAACAATTATATCCTGTTACAAGAATTTGGAGGGCAACATCAAGTTAATGGAATATCCTGGCATGATCCAGCCTTTACCAGGGCAGCAATCTGGGATGACGGACATGCAACTGTTATAGCAACAGTCCATTCTTAAGCAAATGCAGGAATTCCAAAGACAACTACTTCCAAATTCACAGTTTCCGCTACCTGAAGTAAGGCAGTTGAGCTCTGCGAATCAGGTTTCCTCATTTTTGAAACAGGGATCAGATAATTTCCCCCCAGCTCAATGGTGTTCCTGTCCTTGATGCTTCAAATTGTTCGTGGCAGCCTGAGATCATGACACCAAATGCAAATTGGGTGCAACATGATGCCTTTTCTTCCATGCCAGAATCCTCTGGTGGATTTATGTCTTCCCATGAGCAAGGGCAGGTGCGTTTGATGTGTTTGGTTCCACCGCAGGATAATCAATCATTTAATGGGGCCTTTAACAGTGGTGCAAGGAGAAATCCATATCAGCATCCAAATAGATAAGCCTTTATCACAGCTGATGCCAGCTAGCAGTAATTCCTTTCCAGGTAATCAGTTTGCTATGTTTCCAGACCAATTCGGGTTGCAAGATGGAACTTTGGTTTCCACACAGGGTGATCAGGTTAAAAATGTATTTGGTGATGCAGCTCTTCAAGGTTCAAATATTGTATTCAATTCAGAAAACTTGCAGCAAATGACTATCCAGCCAAAAAATATAGGGATGGTCTCTCATGGGAGGCAAGAACATCTTCGTCAATCAGAAACATCCCGGGAAAAGTCAGAAATTCATGCTGTGCACTCTCAGAATGTGGCTTCACTAGATCCAACCGAAGAAAAGATTTTGTTTGGTTCAGATGACAGTGTGTGGGATATCTTTGGAAAGAACGCCAACATGGGTGCAGTTTTGGATGTTACAGATTCTTTTGTGGAATTTCCTTCTCTGCAAAGTGGAAGTTGGAGTGCTCTCATGCAGTCTGCTGTAGCAGAAACATCTAGTAATGACATAGGGGTACAGGGAGAGTGGAGTGGTTTGGCTGTGCACAGTAGTGAACCTCCTAGTGGAAACATGCACCTTCAATTGCCAATGATGGCAGCAAACGTCGATTGCCTGGAATTGATAACAAATTGCAGAATGCCATGACACTGAATTCTAAATTGTTAGGTCACGGTACTCTACAAAAGCCTGTAGCTGAAAGTGCTCACTCCCCTGATGTGCGAGAAACTGCAAAGAGTGTTTCTGGCCACCAAACCATGTCCATATTTGATGCTAGTGTTCAGCCTTATATGAAGGCAAATGATTGGAACTTCATTGAGTCTGCATCACGTAGTGGTGGGGCCATATCAAAAGTTCATTGCAGCCTTCTCATAGGGATCACAAGGGTGTTATGTTCGAGGAGAGAAGCCATGGGTCTTGCCTTGATCGTTCTGTTCAAGAAAATATTGAACCCTTGAATGTGATTACTGACTTGGGAAGCCCACAAGTGAACATAGAAGGTTCTGATCCGGGTAATGTTGCTGCATTAACAGACACGAGAATGATAAGGGTTAACAAGGAAAGCAGTCAGCAACTTCCAAATGGCCATAGTCTTAATCTCTGGAAAAATATTGATTCTAAAGTAAAGTTTGGACTAAGCAGGGGGTCATCACAGTATCAGCAAAATCTGGATAGGAGCCCTCAATCTTTTGATTCATCCAGAAATAACTGCTTGGACACAGGAATTTATGTAGCAAATATGGAGGAGAACACCACTGTTAAGGACACTTCAAATGACAGTTTTTGTTCCAACATGTCTCACAAGACATCCACCGGTGGCATTATGGACTATGGCTGGCTAGATGCAAACAATCCACGGGCAGTAGAACAGAAGTCATCTGTTCCTGTTAATTTGCATAATTTTCCCATTCGGGATCTAGATGCGGAAGTTCAACCTTCTTATGGAACTAAAAATCTTTCACATATGCAGGCTATAGTCCAACATGATTCTCAAGGAATGAAAGATCCTGACCAAGGATATTTTTTGCAGTCAAATTATACTGTTCATGCTGCTGCGGAGTCTTCAGAAACTGAGAAGGTTATTTTCTGTTTTTGGCCATATATGTGAAAAGTGTGGAATTGCCAACTATTTCTCTGGAAGACTACTTTAATTTTAGAATATAGTGGAAAATTACTTTAATTTTAGAATATAAGTCTCTAGAAGACTAAACATTCTCTGTCCTCTGTATATTAGGGTTGTTTTCCTGGCATTCAAGTAGACGAGGTGCCCTCGAGAAGCTCAAGTTCTGGTTCTGCAACTGACAGATCTTTTGGCAATTTTGTGCCAAACAAGACAACTTCAATCAGGTAGTTGAATATTTGCAGTTCTCAACTTTTAGCCTGACTTTAATTTATTGCTTTTCTCAATTTTAATTGTCGATGAAACTTGGCTGTAGCAAACATTCATTTCAGTTGTTAAAACAATTAGAGTGAAAACTTGATCATATTGATATTTGAAATCTGATTTTCATTTGGTAATGGTGACTCTTCTGCTTCCCTTAGTGTTGTGCTGGTTTCCTTGTTTACCTTTTTTTGTCTTCTGAATACCTCAAAATTTGGCAGTCAAAATATGCTGGAGCATCTTCAAAAGGTTGATCAACCAAGGGAACCTGGTACTGAAGCACACTTAAGCTCTTCTGAACACAATCAATCATCTGAAATGCCAGATGCAGAAACTTCTGATGGATCAGTAGGCCAATTTCAGCATTATAGGCATTCTGCTGCACAAAGTTTTGGTTTACAGGTAGGCCCCCCATCTCAAAGGTTTACCATTCCAGACCGTCCAGTTCTATCTCAAAGTTCTCCGCAAGGACTTAATTCTATAAAGTCAGTTCGCATGTCTCCTAAGGTAGGAAGGAAGGGTCATGCCTTGTTGGGTGCAACAGCTTCTGTTCAGTCCTCAACTCATGGAGCATCCCGGGGAGATATCAGGAATAATATTCCAAGTGTCTCTGGACATACCAACCATAAAGCCTCACCACATAACATCTCGGGAAATGTTTCTGCGGGTTTTACCTCTGATTATCCTTATTTAGAAAGTCATCTTCAAAGCCTACTTGCTACGGATGTGGGTTGTGGGTAATCAAGCATTACCAAATAAACATGTTAATGCATATTTTAGTGGGTTGGCATCTTAATCGAAGCGGATTAATGACTCTTTTGAGAGAGCCCAAATTAGTCCATTGGGAAGGATATCACCTCACGCACCTGAAACTGCTAGAGATAATGACCTTGCTTCTTCAGAGACTTCCTGGCCAAGTTGTGGCAGCCAAAACCATGAAAGAGATCTAGACCAATTGTTTCCGGTGTTAGAGGCTATGCCAGCTTTGCAACCCTCTGCTATGGCCAAATCATCACGGCAAGGTGATTGTAACAAAATGCCTAATGTATGGCCCAGTGTATCAGCTGCACATCTATTAGGAGCTCAATCTTCTCATGCCTCACATAATTTGTTGAAGAGCCATCAACAGTCCAATGGTAACTCAGAAACAGCTCTTCCTGGAGCAAAGAAACTAGATGATGAAATTGCAGGAGGAATTGGGCTAACCGAGTTCCCTGCAGGATCTGCTAAACCACAGAATTTTGTTGGAGGAGAACACCGGCCAAAGGTCAGCAGTTATTGCCTGAGACTGGTGGCAGCCAAAATCCTGCAAGCGTGCTGAGAGACGTTGAAGATTTTGGCTGTTCTTTAAGACCAAATAATATTGTACATCAGGAATATTTATTGTTGCATCAGATGCAGGCCATGAAAAATATAGACGGTGATCCAAGTAATAGGAGTGCCAAAAGATTTAAAGGCCCAACTCTAGAGTCTAGTTCGGATGCTCAACAGGTATTTCAAGGTGCAGATCAGTCGCCTTATGGATCCGGTAACATGATGAGAGATGCCCAAGTGAATTGTCCTATAGTTCCTTCTGGAGATTCTAAGATGCTAAGCTTGTCATCAAATGCTGTAGATTACCATGAGACACAGTTATCTGCTATTGAGCAGATGCCATTTGCTCACAATGGTTCCCTGCATGTCAGCAATGCTAATGATTTACCTGGTAGTCTGAGGGGTGAACACTCTCAGATCAGACCCCAGATGACTCCATCCTGGTTTGACCGGTATGGGGCATTTAAAAATGGTATTTACAATGCTCAGAAAATTGCCATGATGAAGGCTACGGGCAAAGCATTCATCTTTGGTAGGCCTCCTGATGGTTTATATGCTCTTGATTCCAATGAGCAAGTTAGTGCTGCTGATGCTAGTCAGCTGGGTGATGCCCGGCAAAACTCAAACCTCTTGCCAATAGCAAGCGAACATATCTCCCGTCACATGCTTTGTCCTGATCTTCCAAATCAGAACCTGATTGCCGTGAGTGCAAAGAAGCGTAAAAGTATGACATTTGAGCTTGTATCATGGCATAGAGAAGTGACACAAGGTTGTCGAAGACCTCAGAAGATCAGGTGATTAGATAAATATTCATTTTGCTGAATTTTTATAATATATATAATGTCTCTATGTGTAGGGATGAGCATGGGTCGGGTTGGGTCGGATTTTTGGTCCACCCGACCCGAGAACAAGGAATCCTCCACCCGAGATCATATCCGACCCGACCAAAAATAAGATTTCACCCGACCCCGACCCGATATATAACTTAAAAACCCGAACCAATCCGAAATAATAATAAAATATTATTTTTATTCAATAAAAACAATGACTTAATTGAAAAAAATAATATATAGAGGGGTTATTATTGTAATTATTCCTAAATATATAAAGTAAAATTATATATTTTTTCGGGTCGAGTTGGGTATTTTTCACCCCAAACCCTACCCGACCCGAACATTACATTTAAAAAAATCCGACCCGATCGAGTTGGAACCCATCGCGTTCGGTCCCATGCCCATCCCTATCTATGTGTGTGTTTTACATCGAATGACCAAAAAACCTGAAATATTTGCAAAAGCAATTTGCTAAATTCAGAAATTAGATGCTTTCTTCTCTACTATTTTTATGCATTTTCCTCTTTATTGGAATTATATTTGAAGTTTTCTGTTGATCACAGTGCGGCTGAGGTGGAATGGGCACATTCAGCAAATCGATTGATTGAGAAGGTGTGTTCAGTGTCAACTGTCGTACTAATATTAGTCCTAATTTGAACTATGGAGGTTCTCACTTAAAGACATTTGTCTTGATCACAGGTTGAATACAAACCTGAAATGATTGAAGATGGGTCACCGGTGCATAGATAAAAAAGAAGGCTCATTTTGACAACAAAGCTTATGCAGCAACTACATTGTGCTCCTCCAAGGGTGGTTCTTTCTGCAGAGTGTAGCAAAAATTATGAGACTGTGGTCTATTTTGTTTCCAGATTAGGCTTAGGAGGAGCATGCAGTACATCATATATACCTGAAAGTGATACAGCTGTTCCTTCTGAGAGTGGAAGCACGTAAGAACATTCTACTTATGCTTGTAATCCCTGAATCCTTTTTTTACTGGCTTCCATCTGGAGTCACTGTCAGTCTACTTTTATACTAATGGTTCTTTTTTATGTTAAATTGTTTTTAGCCTCTCTGAAATGCTTAAGGAGAGAACGCAATCCATCTTAAAGGCTGCAGAAGAGTTTGTCGTCAGAACAAAGAAACTGAAAAATGATTTACAGAGGTAACTCTGATCAAGTTTTTACTAATATGTTTTACGCATAATATCTTGCTTTTGGTTTTTTTTTTTAATAAACTTAAAACAAAGGTTTATATATATATTGGAAATGTTTTGCTCGCAAGTAGACTATGCATCTATTTTCTTGCTTACTGTTTAGCTGTATACTTTATTTAAAAAGTCCCTTTGGTTGCCCAATGTTTCCCCTAGCAAAGGTTTTACCCTAAGCAGCTCCTTTTTTGCTGATTGTCTTGTCTTCTAATGTTTCCTATTTTTGTTATGCAGTCTGGAGAGAGAGCCTCAATATTGGACTTAAGATTGGAATGCCATGATCTAGAGAAGGTTTTGCTCATCAATCGTTTCGGCAAGTACTATGGGCGGGGGCAAGCGGGCAGGGTTGAGACTTCATCGTCCTCTGAAGCAATTTCTAGTCCTCCCAAATTCTTCCTCCAGAGATATGTTTCTGCGCTACCAATGCCTAGAAATCTCCCAGATAAGGTACAGTGTCTCTCACTTTGACAATTAGTTATTCGGTTATCCCCAGCTCAAGAGTTGACTGGATACTGGTTAAATCATAGGTGAAATCTTTGAAGATTTCTTACTTGTAAATACTATGTAATTGTTGTAAATATAGATGGGCAGCTCTAGATTTCTTTTCCTTGTTAATGTTCTTTATAGTGTGTATATATAGGATATATGTAATAGAGTTCATGTGTGGGAATACGGGTCAAAAACCCTTTTTATTTTGGCCCAGTTGTCGCAAAATCACCTTAATGCTCTTTTCTGAGTCCATTTTCTTAATTGAACCACACAAATCAAAATGTAGGAGAAGAATGTCTCTCTTAGTTCGTTTCATCGTTGGCCATTTATGCCTTACAGGCCTAGCAAGTTGTGTTCTTGTTGCGTTGCATATTTTATTATATTATAATTGTGTTAAAGCGATTGTATATCTATATAAATTTTGGTAAGTTTATATTTCTTTATTCATAGTTTGGAACATTTTTGTATTTGTGCTGTGTTCGTGTTAGTTCAGTGTTTTAGATATTTCTTTTTCTCGTCTTCTCCTATCTTATCATCGTTTTATTTGTCTATAAGTTGAATCTTTTGATCTAGTACTGGTTAAACATTTTTATTGAACAGTACACTTGATTTTGGGGCGATGTTTGAATAATTAAATTATGGCGAAGGTGAATTCTGTGTTTAGTTCAATGAATAATCATTTTTAAAACAGTTACATTTTGTTCAATTTTAACATTTGCTAATCTGTATCGTGTTAATTACGATTAGGATACTTTAGTATTTATTGAAAGTACTATTAATTCACGACTCGTGAATTCAAGTCAACTTCTCTTCTTGTATTTTCCTTTTTGTTTATTGTTTTTAGCTATTACTTTTCATTTCATATCATGCTCGTGTCTAATATCAAATTTACTGTTTTTTATAATTATTTTATATGTGTGCACTACGAGAGGAATTTGCGAGAGTGACGCATGCTTTCGCTCATAAGAACAGAAATAGAACATGAAACTTCTTTTACAAATTTGCAGCTCATTACCGCCCCAGTGTAACAAAGTTTTTAATATTCGGTTCAGTTTTGATTATTTAAATTTGAAATTGGAGGCTAGGAATATATATGCCTTAAGATCTAACGAGGTTCATTTCACAATAAAACTCGAACTGTTGAGTTTTACGTAATAAAACATACAGTTGATCGAATCAAATTAGAATTTAAGTTGGAGGTGATCTCTTATTATTATTATTATTATTATTATTATTATTATTTGACAAAAGAGGTTATATCTTATTAATACTAATTAAAAATAAATAAGATGGATAAAATTCATCAACTATTTATTTATGTATATGTTCCGTTGCCAAATTTAAATTTATTTGGAGTTTTTTTTTTTTGGTTAAACCTAAGCGGGTTAGGAATATATTTGCGATCTCATGTGCTTGACGCGTTGATATTTCATTGGCAAGAGTCGCACTCAACAGTCAACACAGAAGATAAACCGTTAAAAGAGGGAGAAGAGATAAGAGAGATCATTATCGGAGATGTCTCACAATAACAATTCAACGTCGGCCAACGACCCCAGGCAACCTTCGGCGGCAGAGCCTTACGCGGCGCAGCCGGTTTCGCCGCAAGATCTCCCTGTCGAATATTCCGGTTTTATCGCCGTAGTATTCGGCTTCGCAGGCGTTATGTTCAGGGTCCATCTTCTATACCTCGATTTGTCTCCTGTTCTTGAAGTTGAATTATCTCGTTCAATTGACTCTAAACTTTTAGATCTGAATTTCATCTTCTTTATTTGTTTATATTTGCAGTACAATCTGAGCTCGTGGCTAGCGATCATATTCTGCGTCCAATCACTGGCGAACATGAAGAACGTCGAGAACGATCGCTAGCAGATCTCTATGGCTATGATGTTAGTTCTCCTTTTCCTCGTTTGTTAATTTATTTTTTATTATTCAAAGTCCAGTTTCATCCGAAATATTAACTTTAGAAATTATAGTGATGTTATGTTTTTTTTTCTGGATTTTAAATTAAGGATCTCTAATTAGGAAAATTCTATTGGTTCGGGCAATAATTGGATATTTGGATTGCAAGAGTAAATTTTTTGGAAGTTTTACTTCAACTGAATATATAACCGATGAATTTGGTTTTAGTTATTTATACCTTTAGATTTGCTAGATGCACATATGTTTACAGCGTTCAACGAACATTGTTTGAAGCCTAAAATTTCCACCAAGTCTGATGTGATAGTGCCAACACTTTTCAATAAGAAAAGCAGCTAGTTTTGGTTGATTTGTACTGGTTTTGGTGTTGGTAATGGTTCCTCTCAAAATCTCCTGTGACTATTTCTAATTGAATTGGATGATCTCTCTTTGAAAGCAGGGTTGAATTTATGTTAAAAGAAGTGTTAAGAAAGTTATAGTAGAAGTTTAACAATGCAAAATTAGATAATCAATAGAAAATACAAAGACAAATCTAAACTAAATTATATGAGTATTCAAAATTTCTAGGAGTACGACCTCACCCCCAACTTCCCTCGGTCCATTCCTGATTACAAGCATATAGTAGATTCTTAGAGATCTTCTTAATTTGATCCAGGTATTAGGCAGATGTTAAACACTAGTTTGCCCTCAGATTCTTTCCTTTGTCTTGATAACCAACTAGCTTGGAGATCCTTTGAGAAATATTCTGCATCTTTTTATTAATGTTAGCGGAGATAGATTTTGTTTCTCAATTCTGGGTAATGATTATCTGTCCCTGTTTTATGTGTTACTCATTCAATCGTATTGAAATCAGGTTTGCTATCATGGGATTAGTTACATACTATTTCAAACCAGCTCGACCAGGAACACAAAGTTAAAAGCTAACTGGAATCACGTAGTTAGGTTTGCTAATGTCTTTTTGCTCGATCATGATGTTGAGATAAACGGTGGCCTTATTCAAGTTCAATTTTGTTGGATATAATTATTCTACATCACCAATTGACTTATATTTACAATTCTGATAGTTTTATAATGCGTAGCCTCTAGTCTTTATTTTTAGGGTAAACTATTCAAATACCCCCTTAATTATGGGATTGGTGTTGATATGATCACTATATTTTCAATTTTGGCAATATGATCATATAACTATTTAAGTAGTTTCAATCAAGCTACCTGCCATTAACATTCAACTATTTTGTTAACTATCATGTTAGCACTTCCGATAAATATTAATGGCAGGTGACTTGATTAAAATCACTTAAATATTTATGTGGTTATATTGTCAAAATTGAAAGTATAGGGTCATATCTATATTAACTCTATAGTTAAGTGGTCATTTAAGTAGTTTGTCCTTATTTTTATTGAAGTTGTCAGTATAATATCCAAGAATCTTTGCAAGTAAGATGGGAAAAAGGTCTAACCATCTCCCTTGCATACTGTTGCTTGGAAGTTTTGATTCCATCTTCCAATAAAAGTCATAAACCCATTATTATGATTCGTCGTAATTAGGTGTGTTTAAAATTATTTAATTTGATTCTTAAGTTGATTCATCGATTCGAATAAAAATAGTCGGATGTATTTTAAAAATATTTGAATTTTTGAGTTGAGTACTAGGGTTGTTATTTTCACGGATTTTGAGTACTCAGTTTCCTTTCTTTTATTTTAATTTTATATTAAATCTTTTATTCTCAATTTTTAAATTATTTCACTCTGACATTTTAAATATTTAATTTCTTAAAGGCTTAATAAAAAAATAAGTTTAAACTATGTTTGGAAAATATTTTAATGCCTAAAGAATTTTTTGATAAAAATAAGTGACTGATGTTTTCTCAATTATACTTTTAAGTGTCTATCGTTAATTTTTTATTTTTTTGATAATAAAAATTTTAATTTTAATTTAAAAAGAAAAAATAATTTATTTATAAAAAACTTAATTTTGTTACTGAAATTATAAAAAAAACCCTAAAAAACTAAAACCTTTCATTCCAACCCAATACTAATTGTCGTCGGCCATCTTCGGCCACCTCATCATCGTCGAATAATCATCCACCTCATCAATCGTCGTACTTGTTGTCATCCCAAATCTAGATAATTCCCAATTTCAATTTCTTGACCCAAACAGTCGTTGACCATTTTTGGCTATCATCGTCATCACCGAACGTTTGGGTTTTGATCGAAATTGAACGGTGGTTCAGATGGTGGCGGTGGTGGGGCTTATGGACATTGGAATCAGTCGGAATCGACAAAGAACTACGATGGTGTCTGACGAACCTTTGAATGCTTTTTCACTACAAACAATGACATATTCCAACGAAAGGTCAATGGGGGTTTGATCGGGGTCGATGCTAGTGTTGATGATGGTGGTGGTGACGGTTACCACTAGCCGACCGAAGACTATAGAAGGGGGATGGGAGAAGGGGGTAGAGGGGAGGGAGCACAAGGTATTGATGTTGGGTTTTTTTGTTAATAATAAAAAATATTTTTTATTTTTTTAAGTTTTAAATAAATTCTTAAAATTACTAGAACGTGACACATGTCACTTAAGGGAGATTTTTAATGGAGGTTAATGTGCGGGCATCTAAAAATGTAACGTTGTAAACATTAGGTACCTATTTTTAGCGAATAATTATTTAGGCACTAAAACATTTTTGAGACATAGTTTGGACACTTATTTTTATATTAAGCCTTTCTTAAATTATTTTTCCTAACATTTTAAATTATTTTTCAAATTATTTCTTTTAAACTTAAAACACTCTAAATTTAGTTGTATTTCTTTAATTTTATTTTTTCATTTTTAAGTTTTATCTTTGAATTATATAATTTAAATTTCTAGATTTTGTATGAATTATGTATTATAAGCTTGTAGATTTTATGTTTTTATATTTGATTTTTTTAAATAATATAATTTAAAAGATAAATAAATATGAATTTGATATCTAACTCAAAAAATGTGAATAGTTGGGCTTTACGAATACACAACTTGTATGTATCCAACTGTAAGGGGTTAGTGTTTGATTGAGTAAAGTAAAAATTTTATAAGTTATTTGAGTTGATGAATCTTATTTTATAAATTCAAACTTTATTTGAATTTTGTTTGAGTTGTTCGAGTTTATGTTTAAACTTAAATATAAATATTTATACTATTATGATATTATTTGATTTCAGTTTAAACAATTTTCTATAACTATATACAATGTGCATATATTTCTTCATATTTTTTATATGTGATATGCATATATCATATAGAATTGAGGGGTTCGACTCAAACTTGAAAATCAATCCTTTAATTGCTAAAAATTTAAGTTATCAGAGTTACTATTCAAGTTGTATTTTATAATACCACTTAGGATGCGTTTGGTTCACGGAATGTAAGATTACCAGGGAATATGATTACTGGAAATGTTGTATTTTGTGTTTGGTTGGCTTAGCATGAATGTAAGATTACCGTGTTTAGTTAAAAGAATAAAAGATTATTGGAATGTATATTTGACCAAATTGTCCTTATTAAATATTCGTTTTTTAACAAGTTTGAAAATATTTATATATTTTCTTTAAAAAAACTAAATTTATAAAATTCATATAAATTTTTTTACAAAATTGAAAATATAAAAAGGTTTAATGAAAGGGTAAAATTTTATTTTAATCCCTGAACTTCATATAAAATTTTAATTATAAACATTTTTTTGTAAATCTAAAATAGTTTAAGGATAAATTTGTAGTTTAACCTTCGTAGAATTTTTATTATTCAATGACAGAAGAAGAATATTTTTTAAAGAAAAAAAAAATTTAAGGGCATTTTAGTCCAGAACGCCGGTAATCCAATAATACCTAAGGAAAGAGAGGTAATGATATTCCCGATAATATACCCCAAAAATTCACTATTGATAATCTTACATTACCGGGAATGAGATTCCCAGGCTAACCAAACGGGGGAATGTGAATTCCATTCCCATGAGAATCCCACATTCCCCATCCAATCGCCCCCTTAAATTTAAAAATTTTCGAGTCGATTTAAGTTAATTCAAATTGAATTTTTTGAATAATGAATATTAGACACTTATTATTTGAAAGGGATTAAGTATTAATTTTCTGAGTTACTAGAAACTCTATATCTCTCTTTTCTTGTTACTTGAGATTCAGTTTTGGGAATGTAATGAAAGGGATTTTCAACTAGACACTTATCATTTGAAAGGGATTAAGTATTAATTTAATGTACTGAATATTAGAATTTTTTTCACATTAACATAACAACATTTAGGGATGTGCATTAACAAAAAATATTGAAATTGTCAATTATTATTCAGTTTAATTTATAATTTATAAACATAAAACTATATATGAATTTTGATCCAATAATATAGAATAAAATCTTTGATTTAGTATAATTATAACATAAATTTTTAATTTTATATTTATGTATATTGTAATTCAACTACCCTTAAACAATTTAAAGTTTCGTTCAAAAATAAAAATCAAGATGGTTCATTTTACTAACCCAACTCTTTTTAAAAGTGTAATTATTAATTTATTAATTCAAACATAGAATAATAGAAAGAATAAGTTAAAGGATGGGTATTAGTTTACTAATTCAGCATATTACTTAATCTAAATAAATAAGTCAATTCAGTCCCCTTTATAGTCTCGTATATTTATTTTATACACTTTTGTAACGGTCGTTGATCTTAATTCTCGATTCATGCTCATAAAATTCTAATTATTGCATTAGTCATACATGGAAATAATAAAAAATATAGAAAAATTGCCTTCAATGTCTTTTGAAACAGACGTATTTTTAAAAATATTTCATTCAATTTTTTTCTTAAAAATTACTAAAACCGTTTTCAACATAGTACGGATTTATTTTTACATATTGCACTAAAAAAAGTATACGCATCTAATATAAAAATAAATGAATTCATTTATTTTTCAAAATACTTAAATTTGAATAAAAAATTAAAGTTAGGTGTGTGTAATTGAACTAAAATCAATATTTCATCTATCA